TTTTCTTTCCCTCAAAATAACAAATTAACATTCTTTCCCATCGCCCGGCTTGCCACAGGTTTGCCTGCTGTGTCTAAAAGTAGCAGCAGCAGCAACCCAGACTGACAGCTCATTGGCTCATTTGGATCACGTGCAGCCTGGAGCCGGACGCTCCCCAGGGCTTTACCGTATTAACAGGAGAAGAGGTGCAAGTGAAATTAAACACTGTCATTGGACAACATGCAGTAATTTATAAATGTTTTAAATCAAGTTGGGTCCGGATTATCCAGCAGGTGGATCCGCTAATCCGTTACCTCTGGTCTAAAGGTTGATTGTTAGTTGGGGACTGGCATCCAGTCATGATCATTCGTGCTTTGTAAAATTTAGATTGATTTGTGTTTTTTTTGTAAGTAATTTTTGTTGTAAACAAACCACCTTCTACATGTCTTCCTATCGCTGTTCTTCAGCCTCTTTGGCCAAGCTAATTTCCCACAAACAGCTTTTCTACCACTGTCATTGTGAACCTCAGCTCTGTCCTTGAAAGCAGAAATCTCCTCTCCTCTCCTCTCCTCTCCTCTCCTCTCATGTCGTCATATTTCTTTTTACAGCTCCTGACCGGCCATGTGATCCAGGAGAAGCTGCCACTTAGTCCCTGGATTTGAGGAGACCCAGCTTTCTGCTCTGTGACCGACAGCGATGGGTCCCCAAGGTCCCACTCTGGCCTTGACTTTGCTTGTTGGGCTTCTTTGTTTGCTGACCTGCTCATCTGATGGTTCCCTGGTGAAAGTCAATAAGGGCTTAAAGGTGAAACGAGGTCAGTCAGTCTACCTCCAGGAAGGTGACCTGCAGTTCCACATTCCCGTCCAGAAGGATGTGTGCAAGGTGGAGGTAGTGCCAAACGAGCCCATAACTCAACGAGTGGGAAAACTTGTGCCTCAGGTAATGGAGCCCTTAGACAGTAGGAGCAACATGTACCAATACACTGATCCTGTTAAAAAATAACATAAATATTTACATTTGATCTAACATGATGAGCCTGAAAGGTTGGGTTGCACATCATTGCATGTATGTTTCACATTTCTGGTAGATTTAGATTGTTGTGGTTATTTTTCCTAAAAGAAACACATCATGGAAAAAAAGATGTATGTGGATATTTTTAAAACAAAACCTGCATTTGAATCCATGGAAAAAACACACACACACACACTTGCTTTACATGACTTTCGAGGACATTTCTTTGACTTGCATTCATTTTATATGGCCTCACCCAGACCCTATTACCAACATATACCTAATCTAAAATGTGATATTTAAAACAAATTTTGGAAAGAATACAAGATGCAAAACTCGATCTGAAAAAGGGAAATTAATTATACAAACATATATAAAAGAAATAAAAAAGAAGATTTAAAAAAAAAAAGTAAAATGTTAAATAAAAAGAAAAAAATTTTGTTTATGTTTTGGGGAAAAAAGGCTAATTTGAAAAATAAAATCTCAGAAAAAAGCACTTTTACACTGAAAAACTTTTTTTTTATTAAGAAAGTTTTACATTTTCATTTCTGGATTGTATTTTTTCTTTAAGATATCTATCTAAGAAATGTTTTACTTTTTTATTTTCATTTTCAAAAAGAATTTCTTTGCTTGAAGCAATGATGGAACAAACTTAACTCCGTACAAAAAGCAAATTTCCTTTATAAACCTGAAATTTTTGGCGGCATTTAAACTTTTCAACATTTCACTAAGAATCAGAAATAAACAACAAAGCAAATCATTATTAATGTTTGTGCTAATATTTAATGGAATATTCCCTTTAATTGCTGTAGGTGTTTGACTGCCATTATCTGTCTGATGAAGTAAAGTATGTCCACAATGGCTGTCCGTTGTTAAAGGAAGATACCGTCAAGCTTCGCCTATACAGGTAAAAGATTCAACACTGAAGAATTCGTGCATATTTATGGGTTTTAATTCATCCTGAAAGATAAACTAAGGTTTTTTCTGAATATTGCTTCTTATTTTTTATTGTTTCTGACCAGGTTCACAGAGACAGAGACACACATGGAGGTGTTTACTCTCCATGTGGACATTATAGCGCCTGAATGCAACATCATTAAGATGGGTCCAAAATCCCTCCAGGTCTCTGAGTTCTACGGCCTCTCTGATGCTATTGATGGTAACGTGGTCTCCTTTCACTATGAAAGGAGATCCAGTCTGGAATGTAGCGTCCAGATTAGCCCCCAGGAATCCCACCTTCCAGCTCACGGCCGGCTGGTCACCGGAGACCCAGAGAGAGCCACCAAGAGAGGCGACGAGCCAGAAAGTTTCATCCACTTACAGCAGCAGCTAGGTGAGCTTTGAAAGAAATTCTATACTTAAAGATTTATTAAAAAACAGGAAGCAAAACAACCTGAGGTATAATGGCACACCTACTCTGTTTGCACCAAAATCTGCCTTCCAATGTTTTGTAGGGTAGCTTTGAAAAGCGACACCAAAGAGAAACTGATATGTGTCCTACCTATCTTAACTCTGATCTTAAGGAACAATAGGATTCCTTTTTCAGCCATAGTTTCTGGTTTATAGTGCAACGCCGACCATTAAGTGAAAAGGCAACAACTTGACGCAAAATACACTCACCGGCCACTTTATTAGGTACACCTGTCCAACTGCTCGTTAACACTTAATTTCTAAACAGCCAATCACATGGCGGCAACTCAGTGTATTTAGGCATGTAGACATGGTCAAGACAATCTCCTGCAGTTCAAACCGAGCATCAGTATGGGGAAGAAAGGTGATT